CCCCTGCCCCCATTTTTTGGTTTTTTTTTTTTTTTGGTCGTCTTTTTGAGACAGGGTCTCCTTGCGGTCCCAGCTGGCCTGGAACTCACTATGTAAACCAGACTGGCCTCGATCTCACAGAGATCTGCCTGCCTCTGCCTCCCAAGTGCTAGGATTAAAAAGGCACGCACCACCATGCCTGGCTCACAGACCATATTCTTAAAACACATTTCGGTGTGCCTATTGTTGTGTGTTCTTGTGTGTGCTGGTGCTTGTGTATGAACACAAGCATGTGTGTATTTCAATGTATCTTATCCCTGTTACTATTTTCATTTTGGATTTTAAGTCATGGAGGACAGAGACTAACTCACATTCTCTCAGAATCTAATCACAAGCCTCAGAGATGACAAGATTCTCCATTTACTATTGATAGTAGCTAGCTTTTAAGGCATTTATAGGAAATTAAACTTTTTTTTTTTTTTTTTTTTTTTGGTCTTTTTGAGACAGGGTCTCCTTGTAGCCCCAGCTGTCCTGGAACTCATTATGTAGACCGGGCTGGCCTAGAACTCACAAAGATCCGCCTGCCTCTGCCTCCCAAGTGCTGAGATTAAAGGAGTATTGGAGCCTTCTGAAAGGGTCATGATCCACCTTGAGATTGGTAGATGTATATTCAATATTCCTGGGTTCAGAATGCCCTACCCCCAAAGCACCACCAAGCCACCTGTCTGTCTATACCAAAAAAGAGGAAACATTATCAGAAGCCTCTGATATGGTTATTAAAAGCCCCTAGTTCTTGTTTAGAATAACCCCAGGCCCTATAAGCCAATCAACACCAAGAACAGAAGCTCTTGCTATCCTGATAGCAAACATAATCACACTGTACTTGGAAAGATGGAGTTAGGGATATTTTTGCACTTAAAAGGAGTGCTTTATTCTAAAAGTTTCATAGTTGAGATTCTAAACTTACAGGAATCTCTTTTCCAGGATGAATAGGTATACCATGTAGTTGGGGGTCCTCATTCTAAATTTAGTACCAGCAATCTGATAGGATACTTTCTGGGGCAGATTAGAAAACTGACCACAATGCTGGGGGATGTAGCTCAGTGGGCCCAGCATGAGTGAGGCCTTAGGTTCAATCCCTAGTAAAGGGGTGGGGAGACAGACCACAGCAAAAACTAGATAGATACAAGTGTTTATAAAAGGCAGAAATGCTACATAGGGCAGGTAGTCAGCACAGAGACAACAAATCAACTCGTCAAATGTGATGGCCAAAGAACAGCAAAGACTAATCAAATATCTGTAAAAATTCATAAAAATTTCCTCAAATACTTCTTGTTATTGATTATACCACAATTGTAGTGTAGGTATCAAGACAGCAGTTGCTTCATGAAGTAGACAGAAGGATGGGTTTCCTGCCAGCATAGAAGATGGTCCCATTTTCTACAGTTACTAACACCAGCCAAACTTTCAGGAGAGACAGCAGAACCACCTGATACTCCGGGGCTCAGGTCAGTCTTGTTACCACGGCAGACCTATGTGAGCACTCCCTAGGCACTGCAGAGTATCTAGGGAACACAAGACCACCCTCCCTTGCTGGGCTCAGCCTTGGCCTTGGTAGGAAAATAGGCAAAGTAAGAAAGGCACCTATAGCTGGGCATGGTGGCGCATGCCTGTAGTCCCAGCACTTGGGAGGCAGAGGCAGGTGGATCTCTGAGTTCTAGGCCTGCCTGGTCTACATAGTGAGTTCCAGGTCAGCTGGGGCTACAGGGAGACCCTATCTCAAAAAGACAAAAAGAAAAAGGGCATCTACTCAGAGTTATGTATTAAACCAAGAAGGGAAAATAATGGAACATCAGTGTTTGTTCTCCTGGATTCTGAGGATGAAAACAGCTCAGAAATGGCCTCATAATAGACAACCACAGGAGATGAGAAGCACTTGAGAGCATCTAGAATTACCAGAGTAGAAAAAGACCACTTTCATATTTTTCTCCTTTACATACAGAAAGAAATGGAAGAACAGAATAGGGACAGAGTGACACATCCATGTCCCACTTCAAGGTGACACAACCAGGACTGGACTTCACAGCTCTTCAATTCCCAGACCATGCTGTCTCAAAGTCATACCGACAAAAAGAATTAACTGTACACTTTAATACCTCGAAGCCACACACAAAGTACTTGTGATCAATAACAGAAGTCAGTAACACCAAGCACTGACCTCCCTTCCAGCACTGTCACTGTGCTTAGTTTATACCAATGTCAGCCACCTCCTCCAAAACAAATTAACATTTAAGGAGCAAAGCCACTAAAGCCTATGAAAGAAAGGCCCTCAAGATTCCAAGAGTCAACATTTAATTCAAGCCTAACAATTTGGGGCTTGGAGGTATTGGAGGGGTATATGCATATATGTGTACATATATGTGCTGGTGCACTCATCTGTGCATGTACTTGTGGTGAGCTCACCTGTGGAGGCTAGAGGTTGACATCAGGTATCATCTGCTATTGCTCTCCACTTATTTTTTAAAGACAGTCTTTCTCAGTCAACCTGGAGCTCAGCATTTTGGCTAGACTGGCTGATCAGCAAGCCTCTGGGATCCTCTTGTCTCTGCTCTGCAGCACTGTAGTTAAAGACGTGCATCACCATGCCCAGGTTTCTTTTTTTTAATTATTTATACTTTTATGTACATGAATGTTTTGCCAGCACGTACATAAGTGCACCATGTGTGTATGTAAATGCACAACCTGCATGCAATGCCTGCAGAGACCAGAAGAGGGTGTTAGATACCCTAGAACTGGAGTTATGGATGTTAGCAGCCTTGTGGGTACAGAGCACTGAATTCCCACCCTTTGCAAGAGCAGCTAGTGCTCTTAACTGCTGAGCATCTCTCCAGCTCACACCCAGCTTTTCCATGGGCCCCAAAGGTATGGACTCAGGTCCTCATGCTTGTAGCAGCAAACACTACCCACTGAGCCATCTCCCCGTCCCATGCATAACATTGTTGAAAGCAACTTATTCTATTCTGATTCCTTTAAGGATACTTAAAAAACAAAATAACACTAATATTTACAAAATGTAGGTCACTAAATGTAGGTGAGAACCATATTACCAAAACAGGTCTCCCTTGAATTGTTGAGTGAGTTCAAGTTTCCCATGGTTTGCAGATGCAAAGATGGACTCACAGAGCCTTCTGTGGATGTGGACACTGAAAGGAACTGTCTAAACTCAGTGAAGATTAGCCATTCAAAGTTTATTTTGGGCTTCTTAATTGGCTTGTTCCATTTCTTTGAAGAAAAGAACGTCTTGAATTTATCCCTCAGTTTATAAAAAGAAAAAGAAAAAGAAAAATGCTTTAACTCCAAACAGATTATGATGCTTGAGCGCCTGCCCTGGGTTGATAAGCTGTGGCTGTCTTTTCTACAGGCCAACCTAAAACCTACCAGTAAAGGTCAAGTTCTAAATGAATAAAGGAGCACACTAAGAAGTTGTGTGGACTAAATGCAACTGAATTTAGTTCAAATCCCCACTCCAAAATCAGGTTAAGTATAGTTATAATGGTATAATGTGGTTATATGCCATTCAACAGAAATTTCTTCATAGAAATAAAAGTATCTATGAGGAAACTTTCCATTTAATGGCAAGATTCACCTTTGCTAATTGGAAGGTACATTTGGAAACATGTATCCAATCTGTTCCTTGAGAGTGTCCATCTCCCTAATTCCATAGAGCTGGTTTCATTGTATAATATCACATCAGTGCAGCCACTGAAATCAAACAGATGTTAAAACAAAACAAGCTAGCCATGAACATCTCTGAGAGAAAATTACACTAGAATTGGAAGCTTCTCCAAGGGAAAAAACTCAAAGTATAATGTTAAACAGTATTTTGACAGAAAGTCTACTTTTTTGTGACCACTTTTAAAACCCATGATCCATGAGATGAATCCCTAATCTACATATCTCAGAGATGTAGGGGGTTGATTTTTGCAGAGTAGAAACAGCTGTACTGTGACTCAACATCTGTATCCTCTGTTGATAAGAGCACTGTGCCCTTATCACCAGGGCTCAGGACTCAGTCGATCCCTTTTCCTGACACACTAAGAACAAGCTAGAACAGATACATACAATTCCTATCTCATGCTCGCCTGGGAAAGGGCTAAGATGGAAGACGCAGTAAGGAGACAGGAGGATGCTGGAAACACGCTAAAGTTGAGGAAATACGCATACAGAGCAACTCTCAGTCAGGACCCTTTGTTTCTACCACTTGTTAACACTGTTTAAATCATATGCTGAATAAAGCTTATTATCCAAAATTGAAATAAATCTGCATTGTTTCTCTATCCCCCAACCCCTCCCTTTGAAATCATGATGGAGCCCAGGTCTTTCACATGCTAGGTAAGCTCTACCTCTGAGCTATAACCCTAGCCCTTGAAACATTTTCTTGGACTCGTGTTCCATTTACAACTCAAAACCCAGAAAGTCAGGTGCTAGAGATAGCTCAGTGGTTAAGAGCACTTGCTCATAACCAAAGATCTGTAACTCTAGTTCTAGAGGCTCCAATACCCTCTTCTGACCTCTGCAGGCACCCAAACACATATGTACATCCACACATACAAATAAAAATAAACAATAAATCTTTTTTTCAAAAGTCTTACTTAAAAAAAAAAAAAGAGAGAGAGAGAACATTCTCTTACAAATCTTTACTCATTTAAAAAATATCCTCCAGAAAAAAAACTTTTGTGAAAAAATGGGTAATTAATTACAAACCAAATCATAAAGCTCCTACACCTACCAATACTCACAGTATATAATAATCTTTTTCACCCAGCAGCCATGCCCAGAATAGAGGTCACCATACTGTTTATGGTTCTCTGTTAAGGAAAACCACGAGGTTCCCACATCAATGGTTAGCAAGCTGTATGGAACTTTGCTCTAGTCATCATAATAGTCTCAACAAACTTGGAACTGTCAATCTACTAGGGAAAAAGTATGGATTAGACCAGATGATGCACAACAGAAATTACCTTATGCAAAGGAAGCACCAGGAATGCTCCTCCCCCACTCGCTTCTATGATAATGGCAACAAATCTGGGATTGACAGCACAGAAGGAACTATCCCAGGTTACTCGGGAAACACGGATGTCATCATAGCACTGGTCATTTTTCACTGCCTGTCCAAACACATGCCGGAACTTGCTCTGTCGTACCACTCTCCTCATTGTGTCTGCTGAAGAAAAGCAGAAAGAAGTTAGAATTGTGCACCAAACCAAAGCTCTGCTTTTACAAATGCAAAGCTCCAAGTCAGGAAAACTGACTAGTGTAGCATTCTGTCTGGTCTCCTAAAAAGCAGCCAAATCGCAAATACAAATTTTCTTTAGTAGCATATATCCAGAGAACACTGCAAAATGTGTCAGGGAAAAAATTACAAAGATATGAAAAATCCCAAATTCACAATCCAGAAACAGCTCATCAGTTTTAATTTCAAGAGAAAGATTAAAACAAAGAATGAAGGAAAACCAACCTTTCAGGGATGAGTAAAATAATCCCCTCGAGCTCCTTCCTGTTTAGATATAGGAAAAACACCAAAGTGAGGTTTCCTGGAAGATGTGAAGTAGAAGGAAGCCCCCAAACATGTTATGATTTTGTGGCTTTCTCCTCAACCTGCCAAGGTAATTTTTCAGTTTTTTAAAGCATTTCCCCCCCAGACACCAGCACACTCTTCTCTCTGAACACTGCACTGACTCCCCAGAGTAATTCCACAAGACTAATTCTGCACAGGGAAGCTCAAGAGACAGAAGGAGCCTGGCTTCAAGTGCTCGCTTCCTTCCTAAATCAGGCATGCCGATCAGAGCAGCTCAGAAGCACCAGTGAGAAAAAGGAAAAATCTAGCCTGAGGCTGCCATGTGGGCCAAGAGTTGGGTTGGAAAAAGAGAAGTATTTAAGTGGAAAGTGGCACGATCAAAGTCACTTTAGGGTGACAGTAAGTATGACAGTCCCATACAGAAAGAAAAAGCTAAAAGCCAGGTACTGGGCTAGAGAGCCATGACATAAACCAAGCCTGCGATGGCAGGGCAGTAGCAACTAGAGAGAAGGAAGAAAACAGGCTACTGTGGAGGAGAAAGGAGCCAGGACAGTTTTCACATCAGAGCTGATCACGCACCAGCCACTTGCAATGTGAACTGGGTATGGGGGCAGGCAGCTAGCTGGGTTCCTGGGCTTCCTCATGGGTCATTTCAGACCCCAAATTCCACTGGGCTGCCAGATGGACATGTGGGGGCACAGCTCTGTGCTTTAGAGTCAAGGCTCTACCTCAGGTTCTTGATAACACTTGATGTCATTTTCCTGTCTGCTGCTGTATGACACTGCTTAAACTGGGACAGAAAGAAGGAACCTGAATAAAACTACGTGTACTTGTAATACAGCCAAACCCTGGCAACTGAGCTGAAAACCAGATCACCACATAGAAGGACTGACACCTGTTCTTCCATGCCAATGGACACATGGTGGGCTGCTGCTACTCTTTTCCTTTAAGTCCCTTCCTCATGGCCCTGGGCCCACTGCTAAATGCAGTTTGTTTTTGCCAGAGCCTCCTTCCACCCTTCCAAGGCTTAAGCAAAGTGGCCTCTCTCCAGTGCTTGGGCCATGTGTCTGGGCTGAGGCAGAAGACCTGATGCAGGCAACTGAGCACTCCCCGCCTCCCCGTTCCTTAGTCCAGCTGTTGCCTAACCTTCCCAGCTCACTTTCAAAAGGCCAGGACCGTACATTTTGAATGCTCGGTGGAGGAGATGCTAACGACATGCTAACACTTGGCCAGCATCCTTCATTTGTGGAACACTATAAATTCTTCAAGTATGAGTCAGACACAACAGCTTCCATGGGGAGGTGAATACTAAAAGGAAAGCACCTCCATACAAAAGCCAATGTGCAGCAGCTGCTCTCAGGATCTACCTCCCTCACAGCCATCTGTACAAGTTACAAAAGCTGGTGTCCCCACCAGCACCTCCCAGCAAGTGCTTCAAAAGTAAGCCAAGGGGCTGAAGAGACGGATCAGCAGTTAATAGTGAATGCTGCTCTTACAGAGGAGCAGAGTTTGGTTCCCAGCACCCACATCAGGCAGCTCACAACCCTCTGAGCTCCAGCTCCAGAGGATTTGATGCTTTCTTCTGGACTCTGTGGGCACCTGCACTCATGTGCACATACACATTGACAAACACACATTAAAAATAAAATAAACCTTAAAAGTCAATACAGAGGGAAAAGAAGACTGGCAGCTAAAGCAAGGACAGTCCAGACTACAGCACTGACAACGGCTTGTTGCTGGGACTTCCACCTAGCCCCTGTTCCTCCTGGTTCCCTCAAGGTCAAGACACTACCCTTGATGTGGCAGAGCAGACCAGAAGTCCACCATTCACCCAAACCCTCTACACACACAGGTATGGGGTAGCTTTTAGAGTCTCACTTAATGTGAGACTTTAGAGGAAGACTTCTAACTTGAAAAGTAAAGACAATTTTTCCTTTTCAAATAGGCTAAATACTACCTGAGCTCATAACAATCTAAAGATCAGGATATGTAAAGTGCTTTAAAGGACTGCCATTTTCTTTTTTAAAAAATCATTCATTTATTTTACTTCATGTATGTAAGTGTTTTTGCCTGCATATATAAGTCCACCGTGTCACACAATGCCCAGAGGCCAAAAGAGATCGTCATATCCCTGGAACTAGCTTTAAGGAGGGCTGTTAGTCTCCATGTCAGTGCTAGGAACCAAATCTTCTGCAAGAGTAGCCAATGCTCTTAACTCTGGAGCCATCTCTCCAGCTGTCATCTTTGAAAGATGTTAAAAAATCCTTTCCACTGGGAAGCTCCTGCTTATAATCCCAAGTTAAAAGGCCAACCTGAGCCCTGTCAACAAACAAAGCAGCCATCTGTACATTGTGCATAGTAACAACTTATTTTAATTCTAATTACATTCAGGCAGAATGACACAGAATTATTACAGCACAGTAATGAGCATAAGCAGCAGAGCCAGGGAAGCTGCAGCCAGGGTTTCCAGGGTGGCCAGAGTAGTGCTGAGTCAGGCGTGCTCAAGTGGAGCTTGATAGGTAGCGTGAGCCCATTTATATCCCAGGTCAGATCTGATTTAAGCTCTGCTGGCTGTCCGGTGACACAGCTGTTCTGGGGGCACGGAATGTCCCTGGCCCTTCGGCACAACAGAGATCAGCAATGCAGAGAACAAGCTCCAAAACACAGCCTGAGGCTCACAGCTGTGCCATCTACTTTCTGACCATGGTTCACTGGGGCAAGTCACTAGATCTCTATGTCAGGCTCCATCTGAAATGATTGCTCAGGGAACACTGTGATGGCGTTTACTCTGGTACAGCATCAAACATGGACACACACTACTCAACATTCAACAAACGCTAACTATTAGAATCATCCTAGCAATTGACTTAAAATAATCCAGATTCAAACCCCAGCTCTACATTTGTTAGAAAATTACTTAACCCCTCTGATTCTCAAATTCCTCCCTGTAAAATGAACAGAATGATTCCTAAAATAAAAATTCAAACGAATTCTGTCAAAACTCAGGTTCAAGTGACCTTACCCACTAAAATCTATAAACACTTAGACGACTGATACCAAGTCTCATAAATTCTTGCAAAAATCAGGAGAAACCACTTTCAAGCTACTTATATGGCAGTCAGTATGCTGATACCAAAACAAGACTTCGATAAACTACAGACCAGGGCATCTCAAGAGCAGGGCTTCTCATGAATGTGGATGCTAGCAAAATACTAGCAAACCAAATCCAGCAACACATGAAAGGAATTACATACCATGACCAAGTGGGATTGACCTCAGGAATGCAAGGAAGGCTGGTTCAGCATACAGATAGGAAAAAAATAAAATAAAATCATATGGCTGGGCTAGAAAGATGGCTTGGCGGTTAAGAACACTGGCTGTTCTTGCAGGAGACTCAGGTTCAAATCCCAGCACCCACGTGGCCACTAACAACTGTCTATAACTCCAGTTCCAGGGGATCCAACGCCCTCTTCTGTCCTCTGCAAGCAATGCACGACACAGGTGCACTTACATACAGGCAGACAATACACACATACACACAAAATAAAATAAATAAAATATTTTTTAAAATCACATGGCCAGCATACACACACGCAGACAAAGCATTTGACAGAGCACGATAAGAACATGACTATGACTAGAGGTGGTAACAGGGAACAAGAAAACACCACACCTACCACAATATTGAGTTGGTGAAAGACATTTTCTAAGATCAGAAAAAAAACAAGTACATATGCTCTGACCACGTCTACTCAGAACCCTACTACAGGTACTAATCTGGCCAATTAGGCAAGAAAAAAGAATAAAAGATATTTAGACTGCAGAGGAAGAAGTAAAAATGTTTCTGTACACTAATGGCATGGTTTCAGATTCAGAAAATCTGAAGGTACCCATGCAAAGAATGATTAGAACAAATCAAATGCAGCAAGGCTGGAAGATTCAAGATCAGCATACCAAAATCAATTTATGTTTCTATATAGTCATAATAAACAACCCCAGGATAAAATTAAAACAATTCCAAGGCTGGAGAGATGGCTCAGCAGTTAAGAGCACTGGCTGTTCTTGCAGAGGACCCAGGTTCAAATGCCAGCACCCACATAGTGGCTAACAACCATCTGTTACTCCAAGTCCAGGGGATCCAACACCTTCTGGCCTCCTTAGGCACAGTACGACACAGGCGTAGTTACACACATGCAGGCATAATACTCACAAACACAAAATGAAAATAAATAAGTTTTTTAAAAAACACAATTCTAATAGTATCAAAGAGGTTTTTTTTTTAAAAAAAAAAAAAAAGCTGGGCATGGTAGCTCATGCCTTTAGTCACAGGACTCGGGAGGCAGAGGCAGGGAGATCTCCATGAGATGAAGGCCAGCCTAGTCTACATAGCAAGTTCCAGGACACCCAAGTCTTTTTGAGAGCCTGTTTCAAAAAAACCAAAACAAAAGAGTAAAAAATATGAGAATAAACTTAAGGGAGATGAAAGACCTGCACACTAAAACCACTGACCACACTCAAAGAAAGAAATGGAAAAGTATGCCATACTCATGGATCAGAAGATGACCATTATTAAGATAATAATATTCCTCAAAGTGGGACACAGTTTCAACACGTCTTTCAGAATCCCTTCAAAGAAATGTATGAAC